TCAATGATGATAATAGATTACGTTATAAACTACATACTATTTAATCGAGTTATTATTAGAGTTAGAAGTCAGGTTTGATTTCTGAATTATTTGACAAAATAGATATAATAGTCATCTTACTAGTTTAATATTTAGGCAAATCTTGTGATATTATTCTATGAACCTTGTAATTTTAGTTAAATAAAATATAGATGATGATACTCCTATACAGCTTAAGTGATTCATTTATTTGAATTTAATAGAACTTAGGATATTAGAAGTACTTGTGTAAAAAGCCTTTCAAAAGAGAATATAGGATCTATTCTAAAAATAATCCTTATACAAACAACGTAGTTTGAAATGATTGTCATAATTATCTTATTAAAATCTAAGTGTCTTAATGTTGAGATCTTAAGAGCCTTATCTGTATTGAAAAAATATACTAACATTATTCAACATTACTTCAGCATATTATTTGCAAAAAAAATTCAAAAAGATTTTTAGTTTCTGAATCCTATTTTTTTAGCAAATTATCTATATAATTAAGATATTTAAAATTATGATTAAATAAATTATGATTTATGGATTTTATTTATTATTTGTATTTATATGATTAGATTTATTTATAGTATTAGATTGGTTTTATGGATATATATTTTTGCAATCAAATTTGTTTATATAATTAGATATTAAAAAGAATATTGCATAAGAATAGTAATTAAAGTTGATTTTTTTGTATATTTTTTATAAAATTCAAAGAGATTTTGTTACTAATAAAACTTATTAAATTTTTATTTTAAAAATAAAATTTATAGGTTTTTTTAAAAGAAAATAAAAATTTACATAATATCAAAAAAAAAAATCAATTAAATTTATAATAAAGTTATATTTAAATTTATAATGAAATTTGTATTGTTTAATTAATTATATTTGATTATTTCATTTATTGATAAGCTTATAATTTAATTGTAATTTAGTTAATAGAATAATATTTAAATCATTCTAATTAAATATTTGATAAGAATGATTTTAGACTATTCTATTCAAATGATTTGTTTATTGTTTGATAAAATAATATTTTGATTATTCAAATTTATTTATTATTTGTTAAAAATAATATTTGATTATTTTAATCAAATAATTTATTTATTATATAGAAGGTTTATTAGGAAATAGGTTTCTGAAAATTTTATTTATAAAATTTCAATTTTTATTATATTTTAATTTTTGATAATATTAAATTAAAATGCAATAAAAATTGAAATTATATTAAAAAATTCACAGAATTCCATTTACTTAAAAACCTTTCATATAATTAAATAATATTTGATCATTTTAATTGAATGATATATATTATTTAATAGAATAACATTTGATTATTCTAATTAAATAATTTAATTAATTATCATTTAATAAATTGATATTTTTGATCATTTTCAATTTTTCAATTAAATAATTTGTTTATCATTTGATAGACCAATATTTTTAATTGTTCTAATCAAATAATACTTATATTATTTGATAGGAATAATGATTTAATTATTTGATAAAATAATATTTTTGATTATTCTAATTGAATAATACTTATATTATTTAATAAAATAATATTTTGATAGTTCTAATTAAAGATGGGAACTGTAATTTATATGTTGCAACTTTTAATGTTGCAACTTACGTTGCAATTAGTTTTAACCTATATATGTTGCAACTTATAATATTACAACATATGTTGCAACTAATTTTAGCTTATGTTGCAACATTTTGTAACTTTGAAATCAATTGCTGTACCATCTTTAATTCTAATCAAATAATTATTTATTATTTGAAAAAATAATATTGACTATTTCAATCAAATGATACAAATATCATTTAATAGAATAATATTTTGATCATTCTAATTAAACAATTATTTATCATTTGATAGAATAAATATTTTGATTATTTTAATCAAATAATACTTATATTATTTAATATATAATACTATCAAAAACTCTTTTTGAATTTCTTAAACTAATCCTAAATTATTAGTTTAATTATAAAACTTTACTAAAATCTTAAAACTTTAAAACTTTATCAAATTTAAAACCTTTTAAATTTTATTATACAAATATATATTATTATTAGAGATCTGAATCAAACAAATTTTTAGGTTAGTATCAAGTTAAATTAAACTTATGATTCAATTTATTAAAATTTATATTAACTAATCAAATTAAATAAAATATAAAATATATTATGAATTTAATTATTTTTTATTATTTAATAAAGCTTTATTAATGATAAATTTATCTTACTTATATAAAAAATAAAAATAAAAGAAGTTAATAAATTAAAAATATTTAATTTTCTATAATTTCTTTATTTTCTTACTTCTAAAGTTTTTTTTTAATTAAAAGTAATAGCATTTTTATATATAATATTATCTTCACTTAAATTAAGTTTAGTTTTATCATATATAATTTTAATTATCAATACTATATTGAATTTGATATATATTAATAATAACACTATATTCAGGATAAATAAAATATTTTTCTTTAACTAAACCAATTTCAAAAATAAATTCCACTCAAATTCTATTTAATCTTTTCTGATATTCTGCAACTTTATAATTTTTACATAAAATACTATACTTATAGAAGGTTTCTAAAAGTTTTATGCACATAATCATAATCATTAAATATCTCAAAATCTAATGATTCAAATATGATTAAAATTAAATATATCATAAAATACTACTCTTATAATATAAAAATTTAAGCTAATTTAAATTTATATATTATAAAATTAGATTGTATTAATAATATATTAAATTTTGATTCAATTTAAATTTATGAAATTTGAGATATTTAATAGTGATTATTATGCATAAAAACTTTAATATATTTTTTGCAAATTTTTATAAAATTTTATATAATTAATTTTAAATTTCTCATCACTAAATAATTAAAATTAGCTTAATTTTTGATTATAAATGTTTTTTTATAATTATAATATCTTACATTATTTTATCAAATGAAATTAACTTTGAAAGTCTAAGTAAATTATTTATTAAATTTAAAAATATGTAAATATTAATTCTTATTATAATTAGATTAGTATTTGTAAAGTTATAAATATTATATTACCTTATAAAAAATATTTTTTTTATTTGTTTGATTTAAAAAGTGATTAAGCATTTTGATTAATAAAATTGATTTTCACAATTAATAATAGAAATTTTAAAAAAAATATTTATTACTATATATTTGTTATAGTAATCTTTTATCTTTTTTTAAATAAAATTAATAATTATTTAGTTTAATAATTAAATTAATTTTATTTAAAAAAAGATAAAAGATTACTATAATAAATATATAGTAATAAATATTTTTTTAGTTATGTTAAATTAAATTAGGTAAAACTGATCCAATATGATCTATTCTAACCTAAAACCACATGATATATAGATTAAGTAAGGTTTGATTAAAATAGGCTAAATCAAATATTATTTAATTCAGATTAAAGATGGTACAGCAATTGTTTTCAAATTTACAAAATGTTGCAACATAAGCTAAAATTAGTTGCAACATATGTTGTAACATTATAAGTTGCAACATATATAGGTTAAAACTAATTGCAACATAAGTTGCAACATTAAAAGTTGCAACATATTAATTACAGTTCCCATCTTTAATTCAGATCTAATTTAAACAAAACAGATCAAGTTATTTATCTGATCTAACCTGTTTAGAACTCTAAACAGAATAGCTTATTTAAAATTATAATTATTTAATTTACAATTATTTAAAATATTTAAAATTTAATTATTAAATATTTTATTAGGTTAATTTTATATGATTTTTATTATATTATGAATATAATAAAATTGAAATTAATGTCATAATAATTGTTATAACATTAAATAAGTAAATATAAATATACAACAATAAAATATATAACTAATGATAAATAGACATCAGAAATTCAAATGTAATTCATTTTTCACGTGATTACACAAAGTGATCGTCGGTTCATCCTTGATATTTATTCGTTCAATGTTCGATTTCCTTGTTCAAATTTTTTTCTCGACTGTAGCCTTTTCGTCGAGAATTCTTAAAGCCTTGATATTATAGCTTGTATCATTATTGGGTAATTAAAACAGTAAATTTATTCTTTGGTTGTTTCGGATATAATGGCGTCCGTCTGTGTATATTTTTTTCTTAAATATTTTTTTAACATTTACTGAATATTTTAAAGTTTGATATAATATTATCATGGGTGGTAGTTATTTAATCGCAGGTCGCAATGTACAGTCTCATTACGTAAGGCAACCTAGTTATTTGTAATAAGAGCTACAACGTACGAACTATTAATGATAAAATTTATTATTATAGCTTGCGCTCGCAGTATTGACGTCGTTTGGTCTTGGAATCGTGGCTGTAAGAGCAAAATTAAAGCCGAAAGTTCAATATTCATCTCCTCCACCAATTAATTCATCTTCTGCAGAAGAAGAAGCTTTTATCACAGAATTTTTAAAGCATGCGGAAGAAAAGAAAAAGGAAAATCATTAATTTCAATTTGTAGTGTAATTTTATGTAATTTATTATCCAATTTTTGATCTCAAATTTTGACTTGATTTTGATTTTGCTTTACACATATTTACAAATTGAAATTACCTTTGCTCAAAAAAAAATAAAATAAATAAAAAGAATTCAATTTATCATAAGTGATTTATTATAATTTATTAAGGTTGCCATTTTGAAATATAATTCCATTTAATTTAGTTTTAGAATTAATTAGAAAAGGCATTAATCATAGTATAATTGTAATTTAACAATATCATTGATCAATGAAATAACTGAAATGGTACAACAATAACTGTACTACATACAATAATTTATATTTATCTTTCTCCGCTCCCCCTTTTTTACTTTTATTGATACAAAAATTCATTCAAATCATTCAAATACGATTTATCTGCTCGCCTTTAATCTTCACCGAGATCTTCGACAAAAACGTGGTTACTTGCATTACTGTTGATGCAAAATTCCCAGCAAGACGAGACTACATCATATAAATTGTCAGCAGAAAGTGATTTAACTCACACGTCCGCAATAGAAGACAGAAACGCTCTGGGATCTCGATCTCGGAGAAAAAATTCGTTAACATTGGAAAAAGCCGAGAGTACAGTTAAACAGTTAGATTCTATAACTGAATCTAAAATGGCGATGAACAATAAGCCTAGAAATAGAATGTGGATAAGGACAACGGCCTTTCTATTATTTGTAGGCTGTGTATTATTGTTTTTTATCCCCGAAGAAAGGTTTAACTTTAAACCAAATTTACCCGAAGCAGATAGTAAGTTCATAAAATGGTTAAATTATTTTATACCTTCACTGTGATTTATCAATGGCAACCAATGATCTCAATTTATTTTTATCTTATAATTAGCTGGTTTGCCTTCAGATTCAAAAACAAATGTGGTATTAGAACCTTCTAAATCAGACGATAAAAAAAATATTAAATCTGATCCCATCAAATCAAAAGTAAATACTCCTACTAATGATACCAAAGTTCAAATTCCGACACAAAGTTCTTCAAAACATTGTACCGTACCTCATCCTGGTCGACCACTTATTCAATATGCACTCATGCTTGATGCTGGGTCTACAGGTTCACGTATACATGTATATCGATTTAATTATTGTAAGGCATCACCGGAATTAGAAGATGAAAAATTTGCGCATGTAGAACCAGGTCTTTCTTCATACGGAGACGATCCAGAAGCAGCTGCAAATAGCTTGAATGAATTGATGTCAGTAGCTCTCGAAAATGTTCCTAAAGAATTAAGGCATTGTACTCCGATAGCTGTTAAAGCAACGGCTGGCTTACGTTTGTTAGGATTAGAGAAAAGTGAACGTATATTGGGAGCTGTTAGAGAACATTTAGAAACAAATTATCCTTTCTACATAGTAGAAAGGGAAGGTGTTGTAATTATGGATGGCAAAGACGAAGGTATGTCAAAAACATTTTTAAAATAGGATAATATATACTTATAAAAGAAATTGAAAGTGATTGTTTTTTTTTTAATATAAAAAAAATTTTTTCTTTTTTTCATTTTCTATTACATTTAGGTGTATATGCATGGATTACAGTAAATTATTTATTGGATAGGATAGGATCTACGAAAAAAATTCCTACAGTTGCTATATTTGATCTTGGAGGTGGTTCAACTCAGATTGTTTTTGAACCTGAATCAAGTGATGGATTCGAAGTTGCACCTGGAGATCACAAATATGAATTAGAATTTGGAGGACATAATTATGTTCTTTACCAGCATTCATATTTGCATTATGGACTAATGGAAGCAAGGAAAGCGATTAAAAAATTCATGATAAAATTGTGGTCTTCTGTAATTAGGAACAAGAAAAGTAGTGTAATTAACGGCGTTGCAGCATCTAAATTAGATATCGCAGAAGATCATGTCCCACATCCTTGCTTACCCAAAAATTATACCGAAGAATTTTCACTTTCTGATATTTTACATACAAAACATGAAGATTCCGCAACTATTGTCGGTACTGGTGCAGGACATGCTCAATGTCGATTTATTGCCGAACAAGTACTTAACAAAACTAATGAATGTCCTTTATCTCCATGTGCATTTAATGGTATATATCAGCCATCATTACAAACAACCTTTTCTATACATGATATTTATGCCTTTTCATATTTTTATGATCGAGTGAGACCTTTAGGGATGCCATCTGAATTTTCTCTTAAAGAACTCCGAGATTTAACAGATGCAGTTTGTGCGGGAGATGTCAGTCAGTTTAGTCATTTGCCAGAGGCTATTAAAGAGCTTAATAAGAATCCACATTATTGTATGGATTTAACGTTCATTTATGGATTATTACATTATGGTTATGAAATACCACTTGAAAGAGAAGTAAAAATTGCCAAAAAAATTAAAGGAATTGAAACTGGATGGTGTCTTGGAGCCGCTATCGCCGTATTAGATCAAAATGTATTGTGTAAATTGTCTTGAAACATTTAATTCGTTAAATTTAATATTTTGTTTTTGGGGGGGGAAGAGTTTTTTATTGTTATGAACATTGGTTATTATTATGATAGATATTGGAAATTTAATTATACTAATTAGAATGAATCAATATAGTCTAGTCTGTACACTAAAAAATGTAATAACTTGAAATAAACCAATTTAATTCGCAGAATATATTTATTGAACTGCTTACTTCACTACAATCTTCCTTTAAGCGATAATTTTTATCATGACATTATTTGTATCAATTACTTCTTACTGTTCAATAATCCTAATATTTTGACAGGACAAAACAAGTATGATCTAATTGGTCGACATGTACAGTAAACGAATATCCAGAATGAGCGTTATCACCATATGACAATACAAATTAATCAGTAAGGATGGTGCGTTTAAATTGACGAAGCGTTCATTTGATAGATTGTGGGAAATTTTTTAACAAAATCGAGATATTTATTACATCTTTAGTTTTTGATGTTATAAATTCAGGTTCTGAGAATTTTTTGTAATAATATCTAACTAACGTATTACATTTAAAAAACTTTTCATAAAGTATAATATACGGTGCAATAAATTGGTTAAAACAATTATAGTGGTGGGGGTGACACTATTGGTTAGCGAGATAAAACGAGAGAATTTGATTGGCAATACATTTTTACAATATTGTTCCCCACTCCATTTCCCCACGAGATTCTTTGGTGCGCATTTACTGGTAAATTCAAGAAAAATAAGAAAAAATTAAATCTAGTTTTAATTAAAAGAAAACAAAATAAAAAAGGAAATAGATTATAATATCTTACATGAAGGGGATTATATTACGAAACCGGTATCACCGGTATTCAAATTGTTGAATGAAGAACGTGAGAAATCGTCGACTTCTAACGTTTTTCATTGCTCATTGATGATTGATTATCCCCCCAAAAGTAAAAAAAATAAAAATTTATATTTACTTTCATTTATTAAAGCTTTTAACACCCTTCTACATGTCGAACTATTTATTTATTCAAAAGAAATGAAGAAGAAATATGGGTTATAAAATTTTTTGTAAAATTATTCTTAATTTTTTTTTTTTTTTTTTTAATGCAAGTTGGAAAATTTTAAAATTACAGTATATCGTTATAAAAAATTCTTTGACTCTGATTATCTATTGATTCCCTAAACTTATTCAAGAGAACTGATTCAAAAACAGCTGATACCTCAATGCATGTGCATAATATTATCATTCAAAAAATGAATGTTTTTAATTTTTTTAATTAAAATATAAAAGGCTTCACATTTACTCAATCGTTAAGTTTATTAAGGTTAAATATTGATAATCTACCATTGATGCTTGGGAAATCTGTTAAATGGTGCGAACTAATCTGACCAAAAAAGAATGATCTTCGTTTGGGGATCAAAGAAAAATAGACAATGTATCCAAATTGAAATCGGTTCATTTAGCAAATGGAAATAACTGCATTCCCAACCATTAACGTAATGGTGGGCTTTTAGAATAATCTAGAATAAAGAAAATTTATAGTAATTGGTCCTTTGAATCGTTTTTTATAAATAGGCCCAATTTAAAACGAAAAAAATTTTTTCTTTAATAACCGAAAAAATGGCAACCCAACAATCTCCTAATATTACTCTTTATACTGACGCAGTTCCTTACGGAATAAAAGTTAGCATTGTTCTTGAAGAATTAGGAATTCCTTATAAAGTTAAAGAAATTTCTATTGAAAAGGGAGAACAAAAGAACCCCGAATTTTTGAAAATCAATCCAAATGGAAAAGTTCCTGCTATCACGGATCATGATTTTAATGTATTTGAAAGTGGTGCTATTTTGATTTATATTTGTGACAATTACGATCATAAAGGTAAATTATTGCCAAAGGATCCCAAGTCAAGAAGTCAAGTTATACAATGGGTATGGTAAAATTTCTTTCTTGTTCTCATGAATGAATCAAAAAAAAAAAAAAAGTTAAATCTCCTTTACTCTTATTAGCTTATGCTCCAATTGAGTGAACATGGACCTATGCAAGGAGAAGCTAACTATTTTAATAGTTTCTCATCAGAAAATGTTCCATATGCCATTCAGCGATATACCAATGAAACCAAACGACATTTCAAACTCTTGGATGATGCCTTGGAAGGGAAGGAGTATTTAGTTGGAAATAAGTATACTTTAGCAGATATTGCATATTTTTCTATGGTTAAGTTCCATCAAATTAGTGGAATCAAAACTTTAAATGATTATCCAAATTTGACAGCTTGGCTGGCTCGTATTGATGCTAAACCTGCTACTAAAAAAGGTATAGATGTACCTAATAATTCCCTTAGAGAAATGGTTGAGAAACCTGAAAAATTGGAAGAATTATGTCAAAAGGTTAAAGCTATGGTTAAACAACGAGAAGATGAAGAAAAAGGAAAATAATGTTGCGATCCAAATGTCATTTTTTAAATTTTATTTGATTATTTTTTTTTTTATATCATTTTAAATAAATATCTTATTTGCTACTATATATAAATTGTTTGTTAGAATAAGAATTGATTACCATGTTGAGGTATTATATAAAATTACACTTTGTTTGGATTTTTATAGTAGTGAAATAATGATTTACTATATAGAGTTATTGACGCCATTTTCTATATAAATTATAAATTAAAAACCGAATTTATTACATATCGATATAACTAGGGGATAGATAAAAATGATACGAGTTTCCATAAATCACAAGATGATCAACCTATAAGATTAGTTTTCGACTTCTGGCTCTCTTGGTAATGTTTTCCTAAAAAAAAAAAAAAATACTATGTAATTTCTTGCTTGTTTTTATATTGCAGGCAAATGTCCCGGATCTTCACTAGTAATTACGCACCACATTTCATCACTTCGTTTATCCCTGAAAATCAATAAAGATGGCTTCAGGATTAGCATAGATATCCCCAAATCCCATATGCGAAATAATGATTGCCGGAAGAAATATCCATACCCAAATATTGTTTTATTGACATGTGCACAGCGTCACTGGCTGAGATTAGATGCAGTGTTAAAAAGCTTTTATTTTACAATACATTCTATAAATACAAAGTTGGTTAGCATAGTTAACCGGAGGCATAATCACATTTTTCGCGATACAGATAATAAGTTTTTTATTACTACTTTCTGCAACCGCTTCTCTTCCAATTTCGCGACTCTTTCTCTAAGCTCGGCATTTCTTGCTTCAAGCTCAGCTTTCTCGTACTCGGGCCCAGTTATCTTAGCCATAAGTCTGGCATTTTCTTCTCTAAGTCAGTCAAAATCGGATTCCATTTTCAATAACACTTTTTTATAAAATCGACTTTTAGAAAAAATAATGTTTGCGATTCGCACGTCGTACAGTCTATTCTATCGGCAAGAATTTTTCCGGCGCATCGATTTTCTCACAGGCTCATTTTATGGTTAGGACTTGAAAAATTCATCTTTTTAAACTCAACCACTTCATTAATTTATTATATATTTTTTCTGCTATGGTTTCATTATGAAATTATTGATTTATTATCGTAAACAAAGCAATACATTAATCTGAATACGATTTACAAATTTACAATTAAATAATCAATTATATATTCATATGTTATTATTAACGACTAATTGTTCTTTTGACGTTTGGAACTCTTTACTATTGCCTCGGCTTGTGCTTGTAATACCCGCACAATATAAGATTACACCTCTTTTACCTTTTGTGTATCTGTATCTGCTTTTTCGTCAAATCTTTTGTCAAATTCACAATAGATATTTCAATTTTGAGATCCTAATGGACCAGTCCAGCGGACGAAACTCCAATGGACACCAGTCAGTTACGATTCCATATACTTTTGGAAGTCTCAAAATCCGTTAAATCCAAATCAGTTTGTTTGCGCTTTCGTTTACCTAATTTCTGAAAATCCTAATATTGAATAATGATTCCTTAGCATTTTCCATTTGCTTCCTTTTAAGCTTAAAGATTAACGAAATTATTATCTCAACTGCACGGTGGACCTATACCAGATTTTGTGCAATATCTTCCTTCATTTTTACCATTTTGGCTTCAGTAATTAAAGCATAAACCAATTTTATAAAAACCGCATAGTCAAGTTATCCGTATCCACAGCTTCCATCAAGCTCGACTTATACCACTAATTGTGTTGTCTTATCGTTGTGTTCTCTGACATGTTTGACCGCGTAGGTCAGAAAAGTTGAAATAAACTCACGTGCTGTGGCTACATAAAATGAAATCGCTTGAAATGCATGACAATTTCTATTGAGTTGATTAACAAAGCTTTTCAGTTTACTAGATTCAAGTGGAGGATTCAGTTCTGGAAGAGTATCTATTTTGAATTTGTGTATTGTTTCAACAGACGTAAGTGCTTCATTATAAATATTGGCAACTTCCTTTATTTTCAAATCACCATACGCCTTTTTTCCTTTTATTTGGACTTTCAGATAATTAACAATACGTTCTTTTTTATTATTCAGCTCAATATTATATTATCTACTAATGTGTTGTAATGAAACTTATTTTCAACTATTTCTCCTTTTTTTAAGAATTATCTTAAAAATACTCAAAATAAAGATCGTTTATTTCCGTCTTCTCTAGTCCATTGAACTTTCTTTAACGGCTTGTCACAATAAAGTAAAGAAAATATGTATATATATAGGCTATGATCTAAGAAAATCAAGTTCTGAGAATTTTTTATCAAAATTAAGATTTAGTTGCATTTTAATTTTTATTACATTTAGACTAAAATGTAATAAGATATTAATTTTAGTCAAGAATTTCTTAGAACCTGATTTTCTTAGATCACAACCCATATAGTAAGGTTACTATCCTAAACTACTAAAATTAGTTTTGGTTAAACAAAACTAGTTTCGATAGTTTCAGCTATTAACTTACTTTTGACACTTAACTAAACTAGTTTCGGTAAGTCTAAACTATAGAAATTTAGTTTCAAATAGCAAAAAATAATGTATAGTGAATTCAGAAAACTCTGAGAGGTACATCATAATAAATTGTATTTTTTTATATTTTCTTAAAATATAATGCTCACATTAATATGGTATTTTGCATTTGTATAAAATTTGAGATTCACTTTAATTGCAAAAAAATACAAATTAGTACTAGAAAAGAGAATGTATGGTGTAAATGACTTAATCATATCAAATGATTAAGCTACCGCTGAAATTTATAATCATTACTAAATTTAAATTGAAATTTTATTGGTTAAAAATCTAACATGTGATAGGAATATAATTACATAATCAGTATTAAACATATTATTTCATATTATTTCATAGCATATTTCAATTAACAATACCAAAAATTAAATAAACGTATTAAGCAGTTTTAGAATACTATCAAAAAGTTTTAGAAGCAAGCAGAAAATCCTAAGTAACTTTAAAATTATCAGATGCTAAACCTGATATAATTGATGAGTCATAGTTTAATATATTTTGATTAGAAGGTAAGAAAGTTCTTTTTGATAATGATGAAATTATAAATAAAATGAAAGAATATCAATCAAATACATTAGAACAATTAATTGAAAATAACTATACATGAAATGCTCATGTGAATCAGTTAGTAGTACCAGTCGTAACAAATTCTGGAGTTGTTCAGTCAGCTATTAAAACTTTTTAGTAGACTTAGCCGTTGACTGAGTTGAGACTTTCATTTAAAATTAGCGATCATAATTATATTATTAATATCTAAAATTTAATTAATGTTGCAAAAATAATAGATAATTATAAGTTTCATCATAAATAATATGACTAAAAATTTGAAGTTTTATTTAATTAAACATTTTACAATATTCTAACTTTATATCAAATTTGAAATAGTGACTCAGTTATGTCTCAGTCATTGAAAATTCTGAAGTCAACTCAAAATGATTTTTGCAGAGTCAACTCAGCTATTAATTCTGATTCCAATAGCTAGTATTACTAGAATTAATATACAATATGATACATAATCAATATTATATAATAAAAGAGTATATTAGTGAAAACAGCTTTAGATTCTAAAAATATTACTGAAATATTTCTAATAAATAATACTGCTGAGCCTAATATAAATGGTATATTCTTTACATTTAAAAACGCATATGATAGCAGTGATAATGATAATGAGTTATCTTTAGAATATTTAATTTATTATTAAAAAAGAAGAAAGATGATATGCAGTTTCAAATAGTAAATTAATTTTTCTATTTTATTCAGGATTATGGATTTATCAAGATATATGCAAGTAATCTTCTTGTTTAAAGCTTAAATAAGGATCAATAGCAAATATGGCTTATTTGTTTATAGGTAAACTAATAGCTTAAAAATAGTATAATTATTATATCTAAACATGGTCACCATAAAAGTTAGGTCTTTTCTTCTTTATAAAGACCTCAAATTACAAGTTACTAAATATTTATTTATGTATAAGTTTAAATTGAGTGTTGCTGATTTTATAAAATTTGTTGAGAATAAGTTTATTCTTACTATAAATAGATAAATATTATGCGGTATATATATGATACAAATGATTGACCAATCTGATAAATCTGACAAATCTAACATATCTGACATTTCTGATATATAGTAACTTTTAAAAGAAATACAAGTAGAGTTGCTTGCTTTTAAAAACTTATAACTCATCAACTACAAATGCTAGAAATATAGTTTTATATATTTTTTAAACCTTAAAACCTAATTAATATTCAGTAAACATTTGATGTATGATTCTTAAGACTAATTATACGTAATTTAGCGATTTATATCACAATTCTTACTTAATAAAATTTAATTGTAGAAAAATTTTTCAGTAGGCTGACTATTCAAAAAATAATATTAGATTCTGATTTTCCTCAATGCTGTGATTCTAATAAGCTAATATTTGTTCAAATTAGATTAGTAGATTAGTGAAAAATCAATAATAAAGATCACTATGCATCATATAAAAATTTTTTTTGATACTTTTATTAGGCATGCACTGGTGGTTAATAATAGATGCATACTCTTCAATAGAATGATATGACTTACAATACATATTCACCATTATAACCCTCCTTTAGTATAATTTTCAACCCAATATAAATTTGCGTTAAACTTATATGAATAAATATTACTATTTGAGTAAACTGTTATATCACTAAACTGCATAGTAGAGCGTATAGTACCCATTATTATTCACATTTATCACTATTACTGGAAAGAGGATTAAGAATAACTTATAATGATAGCCTATACTATCCCTTAGATTGTAGAGTTTCACAGGCAAATTTGCTTACGAAATTAAAAATAATTATTAATTTCTTTATAAAATATTAAATATTAATTT